GGTCCAGTACACATGTGGAGGCACTTACAGCTCCCATGGCCTTGTCCACGTCCTCAGGGATTGATATGTGATGGAGAATGGACTTTGAATAAGGCCTGGAAGTGGGTCATTCTCTCCAGTAACATGAAAGGGGACTCAGTAAATGGGAACAGTAGTTTTGCCAATCAGAGGACTGAACCGACATAATTATTGCTCACAAAGTGTAACCAAGGAGAGATGGGCAGCCATTTTTCTGACTCTGTCTCACCTTCCTCTTTTGCCAGTCCTTAGATGCGTCTTCCTCTTCCTCTTCTTTCTCCACTTCCTCCTCCGCTTCCTCTTCCTTCTCCGCCTCCTCCTTCTCTTCATCTTCTTTTTCTTCTTCTTCTTCTCCTTCGTCTTCTTCATCCTCATCTTCATCGTCTGTCTCCTGTTCCTCTATCTCCCTTTCCTCCTCTATTTGCGCATTCTGACTCCAGAGAAATCCCTCTGTGTCCCCATATAATAGTAAGTTGTCTTCCAAAAAAAAAAAGGGGGGGGGGGAAAGCAGGAATTAAAATGTCCTTCTATTTAATTATCTATCATCCCTTTGTGTACCTAGTTTGTCTCTTCTCCCTTTACCAATTAGTGACCCTTTTCTATGAGGTCCATGCCAAATTCCCTTTGCCAATCCTATTATTGGATCCTATGAAATTAACCAACCCATTATTAAATCCAAGGAAAACCCAGAGGTTTTACTGTACATTTGTAACTGTTCAATTCAACTCGGATGTCTTTTGAGTTTTTCTTAAATAAACAACAAATACATAGCTCCAAGACAGTGGTGAAATTCAATTTTTTTTACTAATGGTTCTGTGGGCGTGGCTTGGTGGGCTTGGCAGGGAAAGGAAACTGCAAAATCCCCATTCCCTCCCCACTCTGGGGTCAGCCAGAGGTGGCATTTGCCAGTTCTCCGAATTACTCAAAGTTTCCGCTACCAGTTCTCCCAACTACTCAAAGTTTCCACTACCAGTTCTCCCAACTACTCAAAGTTTCCACTACCAATTCTCCCAACTACTCAAAGTTTCCGCTACCAGTTCTCTCAACTACTCAAAGTTTCCGCTACCAGTTCTCCCAACTACTCAAAATTTCCACTACCAGTTCTCCCAACTACTCAAAGTTTCCGCTACCAGTTCTCCCAACTACTCAAAATTTCCGCTACCAGTTCTCCAGAACCAGTCAGAACCTGCTGGATTTCACCCCTGCTCCAAGCTCTCTGCAATGGAGGCTAGAAATTTCTATCATAAGCAAGGAAATTGAGCATGGATTTTCTTTCAAAGAATCTTGAACAGAAAAAGAAACCAGCCCAGCCTCACCTTTGATGAGCCTGGCAACCGTGACGAAGCTAGAAGGCTTGTTCGGTGTCCACTTGATGTCCTTAATGATTGTGGCCTTTTTATTCTTGCCCAAATTCTAGAGTGGGGTGGGGGAAAGCAGCACAAAACGAAAACAAAGGTGAGAGAGATCAACTCAGATCACGGAAAATCCACTCAGGTAGTGAATGAAATTCCCTATTAATAAACTCTACAAAGAACTACAGGTAGTACTCGACTTACGACCACCCGAGTCGTAAGTCAACCACCGTTGAGCCCAAAATTTAGATTGTTAAGTGAGACATTTTTAAAGTGAGTTTTGTCCCCCCTTTTTTTTACAACCTTTCTTGCCTCAGTTGTTAAGTGAATCACTGCAGTTGATAAGTTAGTTAACTTGCTTGTTAAGTGAATCTGGCTTCCCCACTGACTTTGGTTGCTGGAAGGTTGCAAAAAGGGGATCCCGTGAACCAGTTGCCAAGCGTCCGAATCTTGATAACATGATCATGGGGATGCTACAAAGGTCGTAACTGTGAAAAACAGTCATTAAGTCCCTTTTTTCAGTGCTGTTGTAACTTTGACAGTCACTAAATGAACTGTAAGTCAAGGACTAGCTGTACTTTCTGAGAGAGAGAGGGAGGGGGAGGGAGGGAGAGTAAGAGAGAGACAGCTTGCTGATTTGAGAAATAAAAGGATATCTCTTATTTCCCAAATCTGTGGGCTTGGAGCACCTCCCATCCTCTAATCAATTCACACAATATGCTAAGCCAGTGTTCAGCAAACTCATTAGTCAACAGAGCCAAATATCAACACTACAATGACTGAAATTTCTTTTGAGAGCCAAAAGATGGTGTGGCCTGTTTTGTGGGAGTGGCTCGGCAGTCATGTGACTGGTTGGGTGTGGCCAACTTGGAAAATGTAGTGAAACTCACTTAACAACGCTCTTGCTTAGCAACCAAATTTTTTTGGCTTAATTGTAGTCATAAGTTCTCTTTATTTTCCTTCCTTCCTTCCCTCCTTCCTTTCTTCCTTCCTTTCTTCTCTCTCTCCCACTTTTTCTTTCTTTCTTTCCTTCTTTTCTCTTTTTCTTTGTCTCTCTCTATGTCTGTCTGTCTGTCTGTTTCTCTCTCTGTATCTGTCTCTCTCTCCTCACTCCTCCCATCTCAGTCACTCTGTGTGTGTGTGTGTCTGTCTGTCTCTCACTCACTCTCTCTGTGTGTCTCTCTCTCTTTCTGTCTGTCTCTATCTCTCTCCCCTTCCTTCCTTTCTCTCTATCACTCTGTGTGTATGTGTCTGTCTGTCTCTCACTCACTCACTTAATCACTCATTCTGTGTGTCTCTCTCTTTGTGTGTCACTGTCTGTCTCTCCCTCCCCCTCTCTGTGTTTCTCTCTTGTCTGTGTGTCTGTCAGTCTCTGATTCCCTCCCTCCCTCCCTCCTTCTCTCTCTGCCTCTGTGTCTGTTTCTGTCCACAAAATACTATATGGAGCAGCGGCAAGGCTCTGCGCGGCCAGCGATGACTCCGGAGGCCACCTGCGGGGGGCGGGGTCCCCCTTGCGTTCCTCGTCTTCCCAGATGGCCTCTGGAGTCATCACCAGCTACACAGAGCCTCGCCGCTGCTCCATGCCGTGGAAAACATAGGCGCGCGCACACCCCACGCAATTATAGCCCGAAACAGGACGAAAGCCCCTCTCCCAACTGGCCCTTCCTCCCTCGGAGGGCTTCGGAGGGGAACTTCTGCAGAAGTCCAGGCGAGTGAGAAGAAGCTGTGTGCATGCACCTATGTTTTCCATGGTGTGGAGCAGCGGTGAGGCTCTGCACGGCCGGCAATGACTCCAGAGGCCATCCACAAGGGGTGGGGTCCCCCTCACGTTCCTCGTCTTCCTGGATCGCTTTTGGAGTCATCACCGGCCGCACAGAGCCTCACCGCTGCTCCACGCCATGGGAAACATAGGCGCACATGCACAGCCCGTACAATTACACTCTCGGTGACTTCGTAACGGCAGGAACTTGTTCTCACTCAAGTTAGAAGCTTCCCTCCGAAGCCCTCCAGGGGAGGAAGGGCCAGATGGGAGAGGGGCTTTGGTCCTGCTCCAGGCTGTAATTGCACGGGATGTGCCTTTGTTTTCCATGGAGTGGGGCCGCAGCCAGAAGGCAAGGAATGTGAGGTGGCACAGTGGTGGCGGAAGAGTCCCACTCAAGGGGCCAAAGAGTGACTCACGAACCATGGTTTGCCGACCACTGGGCTAAGCCATTCTTTGTTAAAGCAACCACAACTGGGCGGACTCACAAAAGACAACCACTGGGTTTCTACAACATTTTGAGCCAAATCCAAACAAATCAAAATGATGGGTTAGCATGATGCTTGCACCTGGAGTGGTGCAACTAAGAGGCATCTCCAGTTGGGACAGTGCTTGATTGGACCATGTGATGGACATGTGGGTGCTGGGCATGGACTTGGGACTTTCCTTTGGGTGGGGAAAACTTGGAAGCTTTCCAATTCGGGGTTAATGTCATGGTCCCAAGCAACACCCCCAATGAAAGAAGACTCCGAGGCTTGAGGTTCCTCAAAGTTCCATTTTATTAGAGATGTCATATTGGCACATCTGGGAAGACCCAAATCTGAAAGCTTCCAGGTTTTCCTCACCCATACAAAAGTCCAAGTCCCTGCCCAGCATCCACATGTCCATCGCATGGCCCAATCAGGCACCATCCCAACTGGAGATGCCTCCCAGTCACACCCCTCCAGGTGGAGGGCAAGATCTCCTTGACTCTCTGAGACAGGAATGTCATTTTGACTATATATCTCCCAGACTCCATATAATCCCCCTCCCATTTTCCCACAGCAATAAATGTGGCAGGCCTAAAGGCCCAACACAAAAGATGGCTTCCAGGCCTGACAGTGAGAATAATTTGAGGGTTCGGTCTTTGGAAGGATTTTCATTTCGACAACATCACTCTTTCTCACCAACTTTATCAAGCCTGGTTTCTCCATGGTGTGCCACATATGTAAGACCTCCTCTTGCTCTTCATCAGATGGGGATATATTGAAGGGATTAGAATCAGTGTAACAGCGTGGGAACATATTTCTGCAGTGAGAAAGTCACAATTAGATAGAGCCAGGAAAGAAATCTTTCTTCCATCTTGTCACCATCCACAGCAGAGGTGATATTCAGCCGGTTCCGACCAGTTCTAGCAAACCAGTAGCGGAAATTTTGAGTAGTTCATAGAACCTGCAAATACCACCTCTGGCTGGCCCCACCCCCATCTATTATCTGCCTCCCAAGTCCCAGCTGATCAACTTTGTCTTCTTTTGTTACTCTTCATAGGAGAACAGAGTTGGAAAGCAGGTTCAGTGTGGTGGGGAGGGAATGGGAATTTTGCAGTATCCTCCCAGGAGTGGGGAGAGAATGGAGATTTTGCAGTATCCTTCCTCTGAAATGCAGAAGTGTGACCCAACAAATGCGCTCACGACAAAAGCGCGTTGACAAAACCGTGGTGCTAAAACCGCGATGTCATCAACATGACGTCATCAACGTGCCGACAACAGCTCGCCGACAGAAGCGCGATTTAAGTTAAGGTAAGGGTTAGGTTTAGGGTTAGGTTTAGGTGTATGGCTAGGGTTAGGGTTAGGTTTACAGCGCGCTTCTATCGGCGCACTGTTGTCGGCGCGCTTCAGCGCTCATTCGTCGGCGTGGTTTAGAACTCGCGGTTTTGTCACCGCGGTTTAGTCGGGCACGCTTTTGTCGGTCGCCCTTTTGTCGGTGAACCATGCAGAAGGAATGGAGATTTTGCACTATCCTTCCCCTGGAGTGGGGAGGGAATGGAGATTTTGCACTATCCTTCCACCAGGAGTGGGGAGGGAATTGAGATTTTGCAGTATCCTTCCCCCAGGAGTGGGGAGAGAATGGAGATTTTACAGTATCTTTCCTCTGGAGTGTGGTGGGAATGGGAATTTTGCAGTATCCTTCCCGTGCCACACCCACCAAGCCACACCCACACCCACTCAGACACGCCCAAACAACCGGTAGTAAAAAAAAATTGAGTCCCACCACTGATCCACAGATCTCTTACGTGAATGTCTCGAAATTGTCATCTCCAGGTAGAAGAAGCAACAATTCTCTATCACTTAGCCCACAAACCGAAGCACCCAGAGTGGGGAGCATCCCCATGCACAGGACAGAAACTCCTTTGGTTTGCCACAAGGTTCTCCTACGCATCAAGCTAAGCAAGAGGGGAAAAAACAGCTAGATAAGGAGAGTTGTGGAAAGGCAACTGATGGGTGAAGAACAGGCTCAATAAGACTCAACAAATGACAAGAACCATCCACTATAGGCAGCCTCTTGAATCAGCTGGGCAGGAATATCCAGCAAGATCAAACCAAGGATCTATCCAATTTGCTGTTTCTTAATGTAACATTAAGAGGGATAGAATCAAAATTATGTGAAGTGTTAGTACCAATGTAGAATGCTTTAGTAAGACAACATTTGGAATATTGCATCCACTTTTGGTCACCACAATATAAAAAAAGGTGTTGAGATTCCAGAAAGAGTGCAGAGAAAAGCAACAAAGATGATTAGGGGACGGGAGGCTAGAAGATATGAAGAACGGTTGCAGGAATCGGATATGCCTAGTTTAATGGAAAGAAGGAATGGGTGGCATAAAAACTGTTCACTCTTTCTTGATCATTTGTATCTGCAGCCGAGTGTTTCTAACTCCTAACCATTTACATCCATGAAGGCGAACCCATGGAACGTGTGCCAGAGGTGGCACGCAAAGATCTCTCCGTGGGCACGCGCCCTGTCGCCAGCTGCTTTTTTGGTGTGCATGCTGGTCTTCATGGGTGCCAGTAAATGGCCTGAAAAATGGCCTGAAAACAACCTGAAAAACGGCCCAAAAACAGGCCATTTTGGGGGCTGCTTTTTGGGCATCTTTGGACCATTTCTTGGGCTGAAAATGGTTCAGAAAACAGCCAGGAATATGACCCAATATCTGGCTGTTTTCCAGGCTGTTTTCCAGCCATATTTGGGCCATAAATGACCCTAAAATAGCCCCCCAAACAGCCAAAACAATTCATGCTCCAGCCAGCTGGTCTCCGGGTTTCTGGTGCTCCGGAAGACCAGCTCGCAGGCACAAATGTGCATGCTAGAAACCCGAAGATCAGCTGCCAGCTGATCTTCAGTCTCTGGTGCTCTGGTGTGCACACACGTACACGCATACAGGCGCGTTCTGGTTTGGGCACTTGGTGCCGAAAAGGTTCATAGCAATAGCAATAGCAGTTAGACTTATATACCGCTTCATAGGNATAAGTCACTTTTTTCAGTGCTTTGAACAGTCACTAAATCAAGTCGAGGACTATCTGTACTGCAGGTTAAGATTCTGTAATAAACTTTTAAGACAAATCAGTGGAAACCTGGTCATTTGAAAGAGCTAGTAGGTGTTATACTGATCATATTAACACAGAAGACATTGGAGGGGGAGGGGGGTTGTGGTGAAGGAAGCAAATAACAAAATGTGAACTATAATATCACCCAAAAGTATGTAAGAGGCATGAAACACATTTCAACCTTTTGATAAAGTCTCAGCTTGTTATGGATTCTCCAGAAAGTCAACCATGTTTGACATTTTGGACCCATCTTCACATGGCCCCCAAATGTCTCTCTAACCATTTCTAAAGGCTGTATTTTCATGACATATTTCATCCCCAGCCCATGGCACAGTTACGTCTACATTCATCTTTTGGTGTTGCAGCTTCATGGTAATATTTTTCTTCTGTTCCTGAAACAAGCCTTGTCATAGGGATGATTTGCCAGATCTCACAAATGAACTTGGTGCTGCTGCTGCCCAGGTCTTACTGGCCTCTTGAAATTACCTGGGTACCATCCTCCCTCTAGAGGCATTTGGGCTATAGGACAAATAAGACCTCTAGTTTCTGCAAAGGCCTTTCCCTGGGCATTGCCTGACTGGTGCTCTGCAAAGAATTGGTTAGGCAACATGTGAGCTTCTCAGGTACAGAGTTGGGCTGCCCTTCTGCACTTAGACTAGTTTTTAAACATTTGTTTAGTTATCCTTTGAATGATGGATGGTCAGAGCATTGGCTTTAGAATAACCAGATTCTGTCAAATGAGTGCATTTTTAACTTTCACCCTAACCCTAACCCTGTTTTTCCTCTCACCAGGAAGAGATGCTATTTAGTGTATGATTATTTATAAGACTTATATGTAGTACAACTGTGGGATAGTTCACAACAACAGTAAAAACCAAAACTAAGTAAAATCAAAATATGACAATCAGGTGATTATAGATCAGCTCATTTTTCAGTGACTCAAGGAGAGAAAGGATACAGTTAATGTGACAATTTTGCCTGTGGGTCTGAAGTTTCAATAATTATCACAGCAGCAGAATTATTATGTTTTCTATTTCTACTTCTAAAAAAGGTTTAAGATCTCAATGCCTATTTCTCAATAAGAACAAGAACAAGCTTCTATTAAAGAAGCAGATAAAAAACTACACAAAAAAGTGAATAAATTCTCATTGATGGAAAATATGTTCAAAATATCACAAGTGAAATATTTCACTTCATTTGATTTAAATTAAAATATTTCTGTAATAAACAAAACCTAGGAAATTAGTTGAATAATATACAACCAAACAGAAAAGAATAAACTGAAGTTTTACCATAGTAGCTTTAACTTATATCCTGAGCGTTTTAGTTCTCCACACAGCAGCTTCTCTTCATTGTCACTAATGCAGTCACCATGCAAATATAATTCACGCAGGGTCTGGTTTATCCTGAGAACTCCTGCAATATGTCTCCTACAGGATTCTCTCAAGAACTCTTCATTAAGTCTACAGAAAAATTACAAATACATCTTAAAAAATCAACTATGAAGCTGGAGTCAATATTATTATTTGTAGATGATTATATAGCCTCTCCCTGGATATGTTTATAAAAGATAATTATATACATCAAACTGAAACCACTCTCACCTACATTAATCTCTCTACATGTAGTCTAAATATTTGAGCCCTTCATACAGTGCTTCTATTTCTCACCCTTAACATGAAAAAAAAACCTAAATCTCTTGCTGAGTTTTTTTTTCCTGAGAATTTCAGCAAGATCTCCGCAGTGGTTCTTTTACATACTTTCCACAAAGTCTGAACTAGAATAACATCTTCAAAAAGAAACATGGATTCTGTACTCTTGAAGGACCCATACTATCAGAGTTCCAAGTAATGAGCTCAAAGTAGAGATCACACCATAAGTCTGGGATCCATTAATAATCTCTTTTATTGGACAAGTCATATTGGCACATCTGGGGAAAACATGACACTGAAGACTCCAAGTTTTCCCTATCCAATTGAAACCCAAAGTTCCTTCCCCTCAGGTGGGACATCCATCACATGCTCAGTCAGGTTACAGTCCCAACTCCCTGATGCCATTGATCCACGCCTCTCCAGCACCTGGTGAGAACGCCCTTGCTTCCCAGTGGAAATAATTTTATTTTGGCTACAGGCCCCCAACTATCTCTACTCCCCCCTCCTGTTCCCACAGCTTCAGACAGCCTCACTGTGGCAGCTCTTAAGACATCTCAAAAAATGGCTTCAGGGTTGACAGACAGTATAAGATTACATCCTGTATTGCAACTGAAACTGCTTCTCTGTGGATATAGTTCCAGAACAGAATCAGTTAAGAGAAATGATACAAATCAAACTGAAAAACAAAATTGGTCACTCACCGCATTACTTCTATTTTACAGTCTGGATGTTTGAGCCCCTCACATAACATTTCCATTGCTCTCTCATCTGTGTTGTTGGGAAACAGCTCAAACTCTCTCAATGTCTGATTTTTCCTGAGTACTTCTGCAAGAGGCCTGCTGAGGGATTCCGTCAGAGATTCTATATGAAGGCTGTAGAGAGGAGTACAAAAAAATTCATTTCATTTGGTTTCTTGAGGGATAGCTTGCACTCTATCAATCTCTGATTTTTCATTTATTTGCCCCTACATGGTACACAACCATTTCAGGGACTTCCAGATGACAGAATGGAGAGCTAGATGACTCTTTAATTTTATCTTCTGTTACAGATTGATCAAAAACTTATTTTCATTATTTGTAATTTTTTACAAGCAATATTCCATTTAATGATTTAATTTTTGATGGATCAATACATTTCTTTCATTACAGAAATATATTTGGTTCCATCCCAAATCAAAGTAATTACTATTATACAAGTAATAATAATTTCAGTCATATCACAGCAGTTTGATTTTTATCTCTTTAAGATGCCTCTATAATAAACAAACAAAACCTAAGGATTCAGTTGAATCATATACACATCAAACAACAATCAAGAACATTTTCAAAAGAATAAAACACAGATGGAAAGAAGAAAAGAAGACACCATCCTCCCTGGATACCCTTATAAGCAGAAGAACAAAGGTAAGTGAGGGCAAAGGTAAGTGAGCAGAACACAATGTCATCTTCAAGCCCGCTGTTTGCAGGTTTGCTGCTCAGCTATGTTGGGCAAATGGCAGAGAGAGGAACTGGTGAAGGTGAGAGAGAAAAGCTGAATGCAGCTAAGCAGTGGGCTTGCAAGCAGTGGGCTTAAGGGTAATAAATGCAAATGCACCCAGCTCCGCTCAGCTGAGTTGCAGCCTTGTGAGTATGCAGCTTGGGGAAGAAGAACAAGCTCCTCTATAGGCCATGTTCCTCCATTCCGGAAGCAACCATCATTTCAGTGGCCTTAATTCATTGGGGAGACCTTGAAACCTTTGTGACACTGAGGGACAATACAGCTTTTTCGCCTTCCCCAACAGGAGCTCCAGAATGTCTAGAAGGAAATATGTGGTAAAAGGTGAGTGTTCGGGATGTGGGGCAGGAAGCAGCGTATAGGAAGTTTTCAATAAGAGTTTGGATAACCATTTGTCTGAAGTGGTGTAGGGCTTCCTGCCTAAGCAGGGGATTGGACTAGAAGACCTCCAAGGTCCCATACAATTCTGTTATT